TCATACAAAAAATCAGCGTATTACAAATCTTAGTCGACAGATAAATTTAGCGCGGCGTTTACGGCTTTTTCAATTGACTTTTATCTCAAATTTAGCAAAACTCTGATTCGAAATGTCGAAAATAAATTTAGTATGACGTTAAAAGATTCTCCCCGCATGAATATACACCGCAAGAATGTGGATTACTACTATCGTGAGTTATGCAATGACGTCTCATTCATTTAGACGTAGAGACAACGTAAATAAGATGGTTCTAATTCCGAACTTCCGAGCGAAGAATTAAGACGTTGAGATTTACCATTTTCAGTAATATGAAAATTATTTTTTGACAATTCACTATGACGTACATTGAATGTTATTCATTTTATAATTTAGGAGAATTTATTTGTTTATTTATAAAACAAAAAGACTCATGATTTTTCATAATACTTAGAGAGATTTTTTTCAATTAATGACATCTAAATCATAAATTTATCATTCCAATATCAAAATAGTATTATATATGAAGAGACAGGAATTCTGACGTTTGTTTTTCTCTAAATTTAACTTTCATAGCCATATTGTAACTAAAAAGTAATTCAGACACAAATAGATTAACAACCGGTTTAAGTATTGAATTAAAAAGATCAAAGGCATACAAATTCATTAACTCAAACGGATTTGCGTATGTTTAATAATTTATTTATTTTTACTCCGCTATCCAATTTTTTAAATTAATTTTTAAGGTTTTGCTATCCGTTCTAATTATGAACAAATTTATTCTGATAAAAAATCAATTTTAGTCAAGTAAAAAATTTTTGATTCAACTGAAATTATTTTTAAGAATTTTTATTCTCTTGAATTATAAGCAAAAAGTTCTTAAACCAAAAATTTTTTTGTTGCCTTAAATGAAATTAGTTTATAGTATTCTTCAAAATTTTTTCAAAATAATAACTATATAATCGATTTTCCTGGTTTTGGGCTTCCGATGATTTTTAAAAGTCTATTTATTAATAAATCGGCTGAAAATTTTGTCCGACCTAACATTTAATTAATTTATTTTATTTTATTCACGTAAATTATTTTATGTATGATGAAAGACAATTAATCTTTCTTTTGTCCTAATAAGAGTGCAGAAATAATTCAATGTGAAGAAATCAAGTGAGAATTTTAGAACGATTGATGTATAAAATACTTTTCAGCATACCACGTGTAATTCGTGTGAATAATAACAATAGTGATGTTTTAATTTTTAAAATTGAGTTTTTAATGTTGTAAATAAATCTAAATTCAACATTCTTAAAATTGCATGTAAAATTTATCTCAAAAAAATTAGAGAAATTATCAAATTCAGTGAAATTGTTAGGAAGAAATAGTATATATCATATACCCTTATGTTGTTGGCTAGAAGCATAAATTTTACACGTTTTTTTGAACTTGAAAAAACAATTTTAGTTTCCACTTCTTTGAAGATATTTAATAAATAAACAAAAACAATTTTTCCCTTTATAAGAATATTGTTACATAGTTCTTACCTAAAGTGAAAAAAAAATTTTTTCACACAGTGGCGACTGGAAAAAGATGAAAAAATTTTTTTTCAAGTAGTTGATATGTTACAAAAAATTTTTTGATAATTTTGAGAAGTATACCTATGTATAATATTATAATTGTGCTGGAAAATGAATAGAAATATTTATCATGTGAGAGATTTTGAATTCATATGCAACTCTCTACAGTGATAAAAAAGTGCAAAAATCTTGAATCAATTTAATTTTATTTGAATCAAGAATAATTTCTCAATTTAAGAATCTTTCTGTTTGATTCAAGATGATAAAAATTTTTAAAATGGTGTTAATTTTTTTTATTAGTGTAGTTAATGCTAAGAAATTCGCAATGTCAATACCACCGAATCAGTAAAAATCTAAATGGAATAACAAAATTTATTGTAAAATAACAAATCTTTGAAAGTGAATTTATTCCTCCCGTCTTTTTCAGAAGAATATTTTATCAATCAAAATAGAGCTGTCAAAAGAAATGAATGTTTCATAAACTACGTTCAACACAAGTACGTGATAGTTGATATCCAACGGACTGTAAATAATAAATACAAAAACTAATAATAAATTATTAACACGATTGCCTGCTATGAAATAAATTTCAATTTTTTTTATGAAAAATATAAAAAAATATTGAGCGCATGAAATTTGTCAGAGTGGCGAAGAGGTGATTACAATAATTGATGCAAACATTGCTTGAATAAAATATTTCATTGAATAATCATGTCATTGTTTATACGCTTGTTGTATTTACAGGTTTATGACCAGTAGCTTTATCTTAATACAATTATAATACTTAAACATGATAAATAACAAATAACAAATATTCAATGGTATGTTATACCTAGTTTACGAATTCTTCGAGGCGTCATTTCCTGTCACAAAATAAAACATTACTTCCGGCGCTGGCCTTAAGCACTTTTAAGTTTGGCATCCAATCAAAGATACAGATTGGTTTGAAATTGGCCCAGAAAATCATCCGAGTGAGGTAATGAAAATATTTTGTGAGCGAGAGATGGTAGATGCCGAGACTTTTCCACATTTTGTGTGGATGACTTTGTCGTATTTGAGGTTGTTATAAAAAGACTTGTGAATACTTGGGATAAAGTATTCACGAAACGTTCGCCGGAGCGACGTCTTCAACGTCAGCGTGAAATTATTTTAATAACCAGCCGGGTGCACTTATTTATTTATTTAATTCCAAATAAATAATAACATTCACTTACAGTATTTTATACTTTCACTTACTTTCCATTTTAAATTAATTTATAAATAATATAAAATCTCCCTATTGTGTCCTACACTTCAATATGTCTTCGGTATTGTTCGTGAGTATTAGAAAAATTTTTTTTCAATAATCAATTATTGATCAATAGTCATTAGATTAGATGACACTATGATTTAGATTAAAATTTATAATTTGGCAAATTAACATGTAATTGGTGAATGATTTTATGAGTCTTACATATATGCATACGGACAAATGAACAATAACAACTCTCGTGCAGTTATCACGTGTCAGATGAATGTAAAGTATGAATTGCGTGACAGAAAAGTTGTCATGATGCCATTGATGTGACTTTTATGGTAAGATCCAACCACAGGCTGGCCAGTTGGAAATCATCCAAAATTCCTTGGTTGTTTCACCGTTTAAACACTGAGATCTACTATCCTATGTAAATCAAAGAATAATAGAAGTCATTGTAGCATTATAACATAAGTAGTCTATCAGTTGTTTTGTTTTTATAATACCGATTCAAGGATTGAGTTTTCAATTAATAGTTTATGGGTTGGATATAATAATTATATTCGTATTCATTATAAAGTTATCAGTTATGATTATTAATTAAAACAGTTTTATTATTAATGCCGATGAAAATTATCCACAAAGCTCAAGGGCAATGTCAACAAGTCATTGTCAAAGATTAGAAGCCTTATATTCGAAGCTTAACTTTCTGTGAATGATAAAAATCAGTCGATCAGATCAACTGACAGTCACAACGCTATTCTTCAAACTATTCATTTTTTAATCAATTAATTTTGAATAAATATAAACATTTTTTTTTTTAATTTTTCGGAATAGTGATTTTTCTATAAAGTTAATTGAAATTTTATAAAAGATTTTAAATTTGAATGTAAAAAGTGCTCGTTAAATTTTGAAATATTAATAATTAATCTCGGGATTAAAAAAAGTCATAAAACAAATCTCTCTGTCTCTAAAAAATCAGTTTCATTTGTTGTCGCTTAATGGATCGGACGTTGTAACGTGAATTTTTTTAGAACATTAAAGACCTCACATTGAGCGAAAGATCTTTTCAGGAATGTTTATTTTATTATTGTTATTATTTACTATTATTTCCGAAGATCGGTGTATTTTCACTAATTAAAGAGTATATTATTTCAAAGTCATTATCCCCGATCCAAATTAATGTTAGACTAATTTTAATATTAAATTTTTATTTATTAAATTTATTTTCACCACTTTCGGTATGAGAACTCATTACCATCTTCGGGTGATTATATCTAATAATTAAAAATTAACTTCTTTGTTTAATCTTAATTAAAAATTAAAAATTTTTAATTATTAGATATAATCACCCGAAGACGGTAATGAGTGCTCATACCGAAAGTGGTGAAAATAAATTTAATAAATAAAAATTTAATATTAAAATTAGTCTAACATCAATTTGGATCGGGGATAATGGCTTTGAAATAATATACTCTTTAATTGTTATTATTATTATTATTATAAATATTTGGATAATTTGTTATAGACGACACTATGGTTGTTAAGAGATAAGGCGTTTACATTATACATATATTAATAAACATCTGCACTCAAGTATGTGCTTAGTATATTTAGAATATATAGTGAATAGCAAGGACAAGGGCATTACGACGTGTTTATGCTTAAAAATTTATCTCCGAGACAATTCTATTTAAAAGCACCGTATCTTATGAATTACGAGTTCTATAAAATATATTTATCATGAAAAAAATAAATTTTTTGGTTCAAAAAAATTAATTTTGCTATAAGAAAAAAAAAATTGATGAAAAATCATCAAAAATTGATCTATTGAGATTTTCAAAATGGTTTTTGATAACTTTTAGAAAAAAATTCGTGTGGTTAAAAAAATTTAATTATCAACATTTTAAGCTAAATTGTAAATTTTTTGAAGTTTATGAATGGAATTACCGTCAAAAAATTAAAATTTTTATGAGTTTATTAATTCAAACATATTTTGAAAAGTATAGTGAAGAATATAATTTTATAACAACATAGAATATAATTTATTTTAATATTTAAATGACTAATTCTTGGGAATTTGGACAATAAATGAAGATGTTAAATTATAGGAATTGCTATAATTTAACATCTTGATTTATAGCCCAAATTCCCAAAATTTAGTCATTTAAATATTTTAAATATGGACGAGAACTTAAATATTAATTTAGTTTAATATTTATTTTTTAGGAATCATTGAGTGACAAAGTAGCATTATTTAATAAACAAGCTACCAGTCACGAAATAAGCCAACAACAGAACCCTTTTACAAGTGGTATGAATCTCGAAAAACCGAAGTTTTCCAAAGAAGAGTATGGCAGGTAAATTAAAAAAAAAATACGAATAATTTTGCTAAATTAATGAGGGATGATAAAATATTTATTTTAATTAAACAGACCAGCGGCGGGATCGCTGTCAGATATTCGCGGGCGTAAAGCAACAGCTCATATTCTCAAAGAAATCCTTGAACTCTGTGATGTTATTTATCAGAACGGACAACCTTGCAAAGACGATCCAAATATAACTGGGATTACTTTTGGAGATTTATTCAATATTTATGTGGCGATCAGTGACAAATGCGTAGGGATGTTACTAAGAGCTAGAAAACAAGGCTTTGTTCAATTCGAGGGCGAAGTTCTTTTCCAGGTAAATAAAAATAGTTTTTTTTTTATTTTTAAAAATTTAATGAATTTAATCGTTTATTACATTGAAATTATCATTACAGAGACGTGACGACGATGTACCAATTTTTCTAGTTAAACCGATCGCAGAAATAAGGCAAACATTGAAAGAAAAAATTGAAGAATCGAAGCGCGAAACAATGTTTCACTGACAAAGGTTTATTTTTTTAAAAGTTATTGTTTAAAATAATGAAAATTGATTTTTAAGATAAGGATGAATGTTTTTGTACATACATTTCAGCTGTACATATTTTAAGAACTTTTTAAAGAATATATTGTTAATCTGATGTGATATATTTTAGAGAATAAACTTTTTATTACAACTTTTTGTATGTTATTATTTATCTTTGACTATGTTCAAATATTCATAAAGTGACCAGTTTATTTATTTCGAAGAATTATTGTGTAGAGAGAGATTGATAAATATTTGACTATAAAAATCAGATGACCCATAATAAAATGCATCATTGCTGCGAAAAAAGTAGCCAATTTTTATAGGAATAAAAAAAGTTGAGCTTTTCCGTAAATTTCTCCCCAAAGGACTGACAAAAATTTATCATTTAACTATCAAATAATTCCGTACTACTTATTGGAGAATTGTCAGTGATTTTTTGAAATATTTTACCTTTTATAATGTATAGAATTTTAAGTACGAACATTATAAATTTTGAAAATAACATCGCTGTGTGATTAGATCGATTGACAATAATTTAATGCATAGAGCCAACTTGTGAAACTAAAATCTTAAGGGGGAACACCACTGTGACGATCGAAAAAAAGAGGTGATTTTCGGGAATTTTTTTGACAGGGAAAGTAACGGAATTTGGGGATCGGATTTTTTTTATTTTATTAAGGGTACATTAAAGATGATTACCCTAAATTTTTATTAAAAAATATTTAATTATTACAAAGTTAATAACAATCTCGTAGAGCACTAGAAAAAATTTCCCCCTCCATGGTCAGTTCGATAACTAAAAAATGGATCATCTGAAAATAAAAACCCAAATTGCTTTTTAATCAGCAAGGATATAGTTATCGTCGCACGTACGGAATTTTGAAAATGTAATTTTTAAAAAAATGGCGACTGATTAAAAATTTTTTCACTATTCTTACTGTTTTTTTTTTGTTTTAACCCGGCTAAAAAATCTTTAAAAGAAAAATTTTTAAAATTCCTTACGCGCGACAATAACTACATCCTTACTGATTGTAATTTTTAAAAAAATGGCGACTGATTAAAAATTTTTTCACTATTCTTACTGTTTTTTTTTTTGTTTTAACCCGGCTAAAAAATCTTTAAAAGAAAAATTTTTAAAATTCCTTACGCGCGACAATAACTACATCCTTACTGATCAAAAAGTAATTTGGGTTTTTATTTTTAGATGATCCGTTTTTGAATTATCGAACCGACCATGGAGGGGGAAATTTTTTCTAGTGCTCTACGAAATTGTTTATAACTTTGTAATAATTAAATATTTTTTAATAAAAATTTAGGGTAATAATCTTCAATGTACCCTTAATAAAATGAAAAAAATCCGATCCCCAAATTCCTTTATTTTCCGTCACAGTGGTGTTCCCCCTTAATATCTTGACAATAACTTACCATTATAGCAATTTATATTTAATAATTTCACGACCAAAAAGTCTAAATAGATAAAAAAAAAAAAAAAAAAAAAAAAAAAAAAAAAAACAAAACAATTAACAATTTAGATCTGTAAAAAAAAATTTTTCAAAATGACTTTTTTTTCATTTTCTTTGTTTTAGATCGTAGTTTATCACAACACTATTTTCAATTCTGTTTTCTTATTTTTCCGAAAAAAATTAAAATTTTTTCTAGGATTGATACTTTCAATTTTTATCTTTTTTCAATTTGAAGGTTCTCCGAACTTCCTGAGAAATTTGCAAAGTGGCATTATAAAAAATAATCCAAAGTTCCTCTCATAGATTCTTTAAATTTTTACAAGTGGGAATTTACTTTTTTCACAATAATTTTTTTGTGAAAAAAAATCATAAAAAATTTTTTTCGATGTATTTTTTTAATTACAGAAGCTAATTTATTTTATCTAACTAACAATCATTACGGGTTACTTTAAAATCTACTTATTAATTAAAACAAGGTCATCAATAAACCATAAGAATAATTAAATTCAATTATCGCATAGTTTATATATTTATATACAATTACTTTACATTGCGCATTTTATTACATAATAGAGTTTGAACATAACAGTAGTGGTATTACAATAATAATAATAGTATCAATGTAAAAAAATTAAATAGATAGCAAACCCTCGCGCGATTGATCGATGGAAGGCCTAGTTTAAATTTATTACTTTGTTTTTTTTGAACATATGTTGTAGGTACATTAATTAATTAATTGAAAAATACTCCTTAACCCAATCAATATACATTTAAACAAGTTGGCAGTAATATTCATTGTCATAATATAAATCAGAAATTCATCTTCCAAGTGTTCAACTATTTTCCAATTAACTTATTAAATTTTAAGATTAGGCTTGCTTTTTTTTTTGTCCAATATCACTAACATACAATGGAAGAAACAATTGATTAAATTTAAAATCACAATCACTAGACGTAGTTGATACTTGTAGTGTTCCGATAACTTATTATCGTAGACTGATATTACTTGCCGTACGATATGTTCAATAATAAATTCGATATGTTTCTGATACCTTTTAATTTAGAAAAGTAAATACATCAAAAATTTTAGATATAAAGTCAGAGATATGTAAGTTTGCCTTTAAAGGGTTTTAATATTTACCAAAAAATTATAATTAAAATAAATTTTTAAAATCAATATAATTTAATCATTTAGGTATTATTTTTCGTTGGATGTAACGTCATTAAATTAATTTATTTATTTATTAGTTACCTTGTGAACTATTTGTTCATTTGTCTGATAAAAGCCGATGGCAAGGCATGTGCGTTATATTTATTTCTCTATTCAGTAGGCTGTGCTTAATATTTTAATGTTTACAAGCTTTTTTTTTTAATGAAACATTATTATAATTAATAGTATAATTATTATTTATCATTATTATTATTATTATTATAATATACTATCATCTAAATTATAGTGTATGTAGGTTGTTTAAACTCGAAGCGTATGCTTACAGTGAGTATTTAATAACAAAAAGTAAAAAATAATCGAGTTTGTGCCCTTCATAAATTTACTTTTGCATTTAAAATTTATATTAATTACACTTGACAAGCTGTGATACTGTAGAAAGTCGATAAAAAGTTATTTGCGTCATAGTCATAGGAAGAACAGTTGGAGTTAAAGTTTAAATTAAGCCATGGATAATATTGAAAGGCCCATTTGTGAATTAGGTCGTTAACAAATATTTTTAGATGAGTTTTTTTTTCACTAATGACAATTAAAACATTGCTATTGTATCTACATACTCCATGACATATATTCATTGTGGATTTATTTTCAATAACTTACACGCTAACACAAATCACACATTCGTTCGTTTTATTAGTTAATTTTTTTTTCTTCTTTATAAATACGCAGTAATTATACTTTTATGTCACATTATTTTTTTTTTTTTTACTATCCAGTTTACTCTACATATCCATTCACATTTCATACCAGCATATTGTTCATTATTTATAATAATAACAACTAATAAATATAATTAAGTACAGTTGTTATTAGCTTATCATTATTGTTATTATTATAGTCTTTATATCTCTATTCTTTGCGCATTTATATAAAAAGCTTCTGCTACCTCAAATAATGTGATTTATCAGGATAAATCAACAGTCCTTTTAAATACATATTATATATATTTTAAATTCCACAATTTTCTACGATAACATTCAAACATAACACCGATTTTTTTAATCAATTTCATTTATTTACTTTTTTTTTTTTTTTCTTTAATCAGTCTTGGTACAATTAATAACGTTTTAATGTGCGAGTTTAACAATTTGTGCTGAAATAAGACGACATATAATTTTTTTTATACTTTTTAGCTTTTTTTAAGGGAATATAGATTTGTTTACGTTGTTATAATGATATCATATAATTAAGTCATTCACAATGCACATAATATTAGACGACTAAAATTTATTTTTTATATTAATAAACAATTATTTATTTTTTAATTTAGCTTAAAAATATATTATTGTCCTTTAATGAAAATGTAGCACTTATATTTTATTCCTATCTTCTTCACTTATTACATAACATCGCTTGAGTATTTATTATTTTTATTATTAATTAATAATTAATGTTAATTATTATTATTTGATAATGAGAAATATCAAGCTGTTTATTTTGAATTTTTGACATAATTTAAGCCAGCTGAGGACTTGTTATTATAATCCAGCATTGCTTCACTAACCAAGCTCAATATAGCTTGTCGAGTAACCACCAAAATTATCGCATCTTCTCAGCATGTTGATGATATATTAGTATTAATATTCCTATTCGATCAGTTTAATAATGTAAATATTTGTTGTAGTTGAATTGAATCTTGGTACTTGATCTGCGTGTCTTCTTAAATTCTTTATCTTGAAGTAATGCCCTCAGCCGATGACTAAAACATTAAGATTTAATAACGTCAAGTTTTATCTGAACTAGTGATCCGTACTTGAAAAAACTTTTGCAATTCTTCTTGGTAGGAGATTCACCTATTGCTAATACGGTAACCACTTTTTAATCTCATTAAAATATTGTCACAGGTGATACAATATAGTAGAGTTGCATTCTAAAATTTCATATCGCACACAGACTTATAAAATGTTGTACATGTTTCAGCAGTTTTACTGCAGAAAATTGTATTTTTTACATTTATTATCTTTTATCCTTATCAATACAATTAAATTCTGATTGTTTCATTTCATTTTTCACATCATATTAATTAATGCTTAGACGAATAATTTTAATCGCCTTAACAAATTCACGATTTTAATAAATTATTATTATTATTATTTTTTATTATTATTATTATTTTTAATATTATATTATTAATATTATTGTTATTGCTCTTATTGATATTATTATAATTATTATAATTATTATTATTATTATTTTTTTTTTTTTATAATTATGATAAATAACTTATTTATAGTTAAGAGATTGACATTTTTTATAAAAATATATAAGAAATGTCAATTATTAATTAATATCTGATATTTCAAAATATCATTTTTTATATTATTATTATTATTATTATTATTATTATTACTAATCTAAAATTCTCGATATAGAGTTTGCGATGCTGTGAATATCGATAAAATCGGTAGTACACTATCACACGTCATTATCATGGCAAAATTCGATCTTTCGTCTTGCCAAAGGCAGTCTTCTTTTATCAACGATAAAGTCAGTCACGCAACCCTTGATTCCTTTATGGCCAGGCTTTCCGCCAACAAATAATTTCCCATTGGTTGTTAGGAGAGAGATTTCCGTGGCAACTTTTATGGGAATTTCGTCATCAACCTGGATTACCGTTGCTTTTCGCCGACGTGCGGCTTTAATGTGATGAAAAATACCATCGTTAACTTTTTTCTGCAAAAAAAAAGGAGAATAAAAATAGACAATAATAATATAAAAGAATAAATAAAATTAATACCACAAAACTCAGCAATGAGTTTTGTTAAAATAGAAGTACATACTCGACTTTTTATAGACACTTGATCATTTTTCCCTTTATAGGTGAATACAACAAATCCGTCCTGTAAAGATAATACAAGGTTCTCTATTTTTCCTCGGCCAATCCATGCTATCATTCCATCTGGATGTACGGTACGTAAGCTTAGCTCAAATTTATTCGATTGTTGTCCTTTGTATCTATATAAATACAATTTATTATTTATTAAAGTAATTAATTAATGTTTATCTATTCAAATAAAAATAAAGCAAAACAATGTGATTTATTAGAGTACAAAGCTGATGACTTACTCAGTATAATCATAATTTTCATATTCGAAATCACTATCCTCTTCAAATTCGTAATCAGAGTAAGAATCATCGTAATATTCCAAAAGAGAAGTGTTAGTTGTTAAAGTATTGTTAGAGCTAAAGCAAGTTAGTAAAATTATTTGTTAATTATTAGTAAAAAAGATGAAGAAAGGTAATTATGCAATAGGGATTTTATCTATTCTTGGCGATAAAAAATCTAATAATTAAGTTGTTCGTTTTTTTTTATTTTGCTGTTTGTGGATTTATAAATAGTTTGAAAAGTATGTTTTTTGATAACATTATTCAATTTTAAAATTAAAAAAGTTCATGCTCGTTTCTTTTTTCATTAAAAATTTTTAGGAATCACTTTTTAGAGTACTATATTATTTTTTTTCTCAAAGAGCATGAAAAAGTAAATAAATTAAACGAAAAAGTGTCATGATATCATGATATGGAAAAAATGTTTTAATAAAAATTTTTAAAATTTCATTCAATTTTATGAAAACTTATAAAATTTTCATTAAAGATCGTGTAGCTTTTATAAAAAGAATTTTATATAATCTAATCAAATTTTGTTATATGTCATCAAATTTCATGGATATCTGTGAAATTGCTGCATTTAAGGAGGTTCCGTGAAAAATCACTTTTCTTACAATATTCTTCAATTTTTGAATACGCGTACTTTTAAGTATCTTCTATACGAATAAATTTTTTTTCAATAGTCCTTGAGGTGCTAATTTTCGAAATATTAGCAATTAACTGTACGGCTGCCCAATTTCAAAACACAGTAACTAACATTTAGAAATTTAAAAAAATTTTTCTTATTAAAAAAGAAGTTTGCCGGCCAAATTGATGAAAAATGTGATTTATGAATAGAAAATACTTGAATATTAATATTTTTAAGAAAAAATACTTGAAATTACGGTCTTAAAAGTTATAAAAAATGCAGCAATATTAAAAAAAATTAGGTACAAAAATTTTGCAGTTACTGTGTTTTAAAATTGGGCAGCTGCGTAGTTAGAGTGAACATTTTATTGAATAACAACCATACTTTTCGTAGGATTTTTTTGAAAAACTGAGAATATTTAATTGAAGTTATAACAAGTATTTTTTATCAAAAATAGCATAAATGAGCGGTATTTATTTTTTTATAAAAAATGTTTGAAGTTAGCGACTTTCGATATTTTACGTGAGTGGAAGTAAGTGAGCGATAGTCTGTAAAGAGAGGCAGCACTAGTGCGTGAGAAAGAAACCAATAGCCATAATCTATTGGTGTCTTTTTCTTGCCGATGAACCTCCTTAAATTTTATACTATTTTATAAAACTCTCGTCAAGGACTGAAAGTTCTAGGGATGTAAATATTTTCTGAGTATGAAAAGTTGGAAAATTCTAATTTTTTATCAATAATTAATACATAAAATTTTAAATATTAATTCCTTATTTTGTAGAGAGTGATTTTTCAACATTTTGATGTAGCAATTGTTCAATTATAAATTATGTAAATGAGCCAAACCAAAATATTGTACTTCTAATAGATATTAAATGGTTTTTTAAAGAGATAATAAATTTTTTACTGATTGTTTTATCGTACAAATGGAAGATTTTCTAAAATGGAGTTAGACAATTTGCTAATTAGAACGTCGATTTTGTGAATTTTAATTGAAAAATTCATAAATCCACTGTGAAGAACAAAATAAAAAAAAAAAAATTATTTTCTTATGCCCATAACTTGGTAGAGTCCCACTTTTGCATAATTACCATAAAAAAAAGTTAATTAATAAAAATACGAACCTTCTTCCGTAACGATGTTTAAACTGAAGGAAATTGTCGCCATCAAATCTGACGGGTCGTTCAGCTATTTCGCCGCCAGAAACGTCGTACCCCATGACTATAGAAAACCACAACAAATTTGTGAGGAATCTCTCTGACCAGAATATACATAACAAATTTAATTAAATTACTTACAGAATTCACAGTGAAGCCCATTGTAACTGGTTGCGCACTTACAAAGATAACTATTTAATAATGGCAAACAGACTCCGCCGTTGTGACAGGGATTGCCATCAGCAGGACAGGGTAACCCATCATAGATTTCAGTATTGTGCTGAGTGAAATTAACTGCTAGATTCTGGTAAGTCTTACCATTGACCATTAATCTTTGTATTGCGCCTGTAAGCCCAGTCCAGGCACTTTCCAGACGATGAATTTCTCGCCAGTGTCTAAAAAATAAATAAATATATATGATTTAATTTAATTTTATTAAATGTACAAGAATGAATAATAGTATTTAAGAATAAATGTTAAGATAAAAATATAAATAAATCTTACTTAACGCCACCAATGTAAAGAGGCATCTCTAAATTCAATTCAGTGAGAGGACTACCAGAAAAGCCTCGTGCAATAGTGCCTTCATCTAACTGCAGAAGACCTTCTCTACCAAGTCTACTGATTCTAACACAATGCCAAGTATTAAGACTCACGGGATCGGGAGATGTTATATTAGCTATACCACTGCCTAGATTAAATTTAAACTCCAATTTGCCATTAGCTAAGTTAAGACTAATAAAATCTCCCCGGCCATTGTTAAGTTGCCCATTGTAGAGTAGTAAGCCATCTGTAGCTCGTGTAAGAAACCATATTTCTATTGAAAATGCCTTTGAGACTCCTTCAAGGCAGGGAAGTTCAAGGAACCCATCGGCATTAAATTGTGGAATTAAAAATTCTGTTAATTCTCCGTCTAAGATTTCACAATGTTCTCCTGTTCTCCCAGGTGGGCACTTGCAAACATAACCCCCTTGCGGTAAGATATCACAAGTCCCGCCATTTTGACAAGGCTCACCCAGACAAGGGTCCAATGACTCTTCACAGTTTGCACCTGTAAACTGAGGCGGGCAAATACATTTGTATGTTGGTGGTTTGTAGGTCGTTACGGGATAATTATCGTGCTCATAAGAAGAGTCATAATCTAATTCGTAATCGTAGTTACAATCCAAAGTTGCGCATCGTTTTTTTGAATATTTTTTCGACCTTTTTATCTTCTGTTTGTTGGTACTTGTTTGTTGAGACTTAGAATCATTATTGCAGTGAGAGCCCTTACACTTGACAAATTTAATTCCGTCATTGTAATTTCGTTTTCTCTTTGTTTTGCTTCGCTTTGTTTTAGATTTACACTCTCTGTTATTGCAAAGATCTTCTTCGAATATCGGCTGACAGGTAGCGCCATTTTTACAGGGCAGATTAGCACAAGCATTTTCGTTACACTGCTTAACGCGGTAAGTTTCTAGAACGTCTTTATCTTTTCCCAGATGAAGATCAACTGTAAATCGGTTGATCTTAAGCTTGCGAATGCAACCTAAAAATCCTTTATTGGTCCCAATGTTGTCGTATACTCGGCTGTAATTTGTTGGCATGTTACCAATAAATGTATCTTGATTAAGATCTAATGATTTAAGTATCCCTTGGCTCTGACCAGCGATATCTTCCCCGTCGTTAAAAATTAAAACACCGTCTTTGTGGTATCTTTTAGCTGTTATGCGATGAAAGTTTTTCATGGTAACTCTCTCCGGTGATGTCAATATTACTGGCCCATTTCCAAGGTTATATCGGAATTGTACGTATCTAAAAAATAAAAAAAATCCATTAATATTTTTATTGTAACTTATCTAAATTAGAGGGTAAATTTAATGTAATCTTACCCATCAACAATGGCTAGTGAAACAAAATCTCCGCTACCATCATTTTTCTGTTGGTTGTAGAGGATTATACCGTTGTCTGCATAAGTTTTAAACTCAACTTCAATGCTGAATTTATGATATGCTTTTAGTCGACTCATCCTGACATAACTTTTACCGTCGAATGATGGCACATCGTAATCCCGTTTGTTTATTTCTTCATCGCAAAGCAAACCTTTGTAATTAGGATTACAAATGCAAAGGAATGTTGAACTTGGTAAATCAATGCAAGTTGCAGATGAATGACATGGATTTGAGACACAAGCACGAACTTCTTCTGAAGGTGTTACTGATATGTAATTTGCTGTAAAATAACAAACATAATTATTTATACACGCATTAACTGGGTTCAAACTATTTTAAACATACAAGTATTTCAAAATTTATTTTCTTCATTATGAAAATAATCAATATAGTGAAATTTTATGTTTTGTGTTGTTTTAGTTTACTTAATTTGATAGATAAATTTATACTTCAAATAAAAGTTCATAACATACGGAGAGAAAAAAATTGATCTTATTCCTATGTAGAATGGTAACCATTACTATGTTACATAGTAACGGAAATTTTTGTGAAAATCCTGTGTAAATTTGCTGATAAAAATCTTAGAAAGCGCGACTTTTGTCACACGGCCGCGCCGATGTTAAAATACGACGGCAGTTGCGCGGAACCCTATTTTCATTATTAAATAAATATTATTGTTTTTCAAGCTAGAGCTCCGGGAGTCGAGACTTTTTTTTCAGAAATTTCCTCTTCTTTAAGGATTTTTTTCCGATTTTCAATATCATTTATAGTTATTGAGTTATTTACGAAAAACTGAGATTTTTTATTTTGTTAATAATAAATTGAAATTTTTATCAAAAAAATAAAAAAAACAACATCATTATGTTCAGAATTTAATTCCGCAACAAATGAGTCGTAGTTCATATTTTTATCACAATTTCTAAGATTTTTATCAGAAAATTTACACAGGATTCTTACAAAAATTTCTGTTACTATGCAACATAGTAATGGTTACCATTCTACATAGGAATGAGATCTATTATTTTTTCTCTGTGCGGACCATATGTAATTAGATGTGAAAAAGTTAAAAAAATGTAAAGTTAAAGGAATGTAGTTATTTATAATGCATTATACATGTTCATAATTGATTACACATCGTCTGATCTGAGTATCTATACATCATTTATGATCAGATATTGAATTTTTTTAATAAAATATTTTATAATTCAAGAGTCTGTACAATTTCAGTGTGCATTAAAAAAATATAAATGGTCTATAATTGGATTGATGTTAAATTAAAAAAACTGATTACATTTTACTAACACATACTTAGAATTTATAAACTATCTCAAAAAATTCACCGTTGTATAAAATATTTAAATCACCAAAAATTATTTCCCGAATTTTGAACAATTAAATAAATTTCTGTAATTTAAAAATTCGATAAAAAAAATCAGAACAGAGTAAATTACATCAAATGTATGCTTAAGGAATTCTTTGTAGTTAGTTACAACTGGTCGGTATTTGAATTTGGTATTTAAATTTACCAAAGCATTCCTGACGATCACTTGTTTCGGCAAATCCATTAGAGCAAATACAGCGTCCATTCAAACACTCACTATTGGGAATCGAGCAGTCTTTATCGTTTGAACAGAGATCACCAAGAAGTGCTGTAACGACTCGAATTGTTGCTGGAGTAGGTCGTGATGCAGCAGCTACACCTACAATATCAAAATGGACCATGTTAAACGCCTAAATAAAAAAAAAATACTCTCTATTAAATAAAAAAATTAAATAGGAGAAAGTAATGTCTGTACCATGTTTAAAATTATCACGATCAATTGTAATCGTTTCTTGTTGAGCGCGATGAGTGTAATAATAACGTTGGTCTGGCTCTGGACCAAGAAGATGCCTAGTTGACTTTGACAATGGTGATATAGCTGCTGCTGGTTGAGTGTATTGGACAGCTGTAAATCTTTTCACTGGAAAATCCGTGTTCACCGTGGGATAGTCTGGAAATCGTGTAATTTCAATTGTTTCCTGTCTTAACTTAACAACTTGGGGAAGAAAGTTTGCTACAATTTAAATCAAAGTGATGCTGAAAGTGTGTTTCAAGAAAAATATTTCTATTTCAACTTCAATAATAACGAGGAAACAATTTACAGACATTTTAAATTAGTCTTTCACGGTACGAGCATTCTATTAATTGTTCAAGTCATTTTATCAACAAAAGTTACTTTAGAAACATTTTTATTGAAACACAAGCATTCGTGATAAGAAAAAAAATTTTTTTTTATAAGACAACTTGGGCTCTTCAATTTTCTATAAACAACTAAATTAAAAAACTTTATTATTATTATTATTATTATTATTATTATTGTTAAATATTATTTCTAAGATCGGTGATTTTACTTATAAAAGAGCAACATTTATTGTAAGCCATTTCCTGATCCAATTTGATGTTAGTAGACTATGTAAATTTTTATCTATTAATGATTACACACCACAATATTGTCGGTATGAGCACTCATACCATCCTCGGGTGAATATATAATAATTAAAAATTTTTTGGTTTTTTTTGACAAATTTAATTAGAATTATGTAAAGATCTTATTTATTATTATTATTATTTATTTTTTTTTTTTTTTAAGTCAATAAGTTATTTTTTATTTGAAAATATGATTTTCATGCAATTATGTAGATGATGTGAGAATCCTCAGTAAATTATATTACTACTCAAAACTTTTATATTACTAGTTTTATTTTCAGTAGAACGGTATTATACTTTATACTCTATTGAAACCATTCGTGCAGAACGGTAAAATTCGATAAAAACAAAAATACCTGAAAAATCAGCTGAGTATCTCAGTTTATCAAGCTCCTAAGTATACTACAGGTTATTCGTTATTCGGTATACGGTATGTGGAATACGGATAACTGCTCTACAGATAATTTAATTTATATTTAACTTGAAAAGTCGTCTCAAATCAAGTCCCAAGAAACTTTTTCGCAAGATTTGCTCGCTAAAAAAGTATATACTAACTAGAAACATGATAGCATGTGCACGATTGAAAATAAGTGATGTCTCGAAAATTTCCTGAGTTTCATCGGCTCGGTCTTAACGGAGCAAGTGATTTCCAATTGAAAAACAAATCTAAAAGTTTACTTTTATTTTTTAATTAGCATTGCTTCTTTCCAATATCAACCGTTCAGGTTCTGTACTTCGTGTATAAAAAAAAAAAAAAACGCACCAATTATTATTCATCTCTATTAAAGGGCAATATTTATGTAAACAAGTAATTTCATTATATACTTACAAAGCTCAACAAAGAGTTTCATCAATTTTCATTTAGCTCACCGTTAATCAAACGAATTATTTTAATAACTCTTTAAATATTCGCAAAGCATTTGTGATTTATAATTTATAATTTGAGTTCTGATTTTTAATTTAATGTTTCCAGATATTGATTTTTATTTTTTATTTTAATAACTAGAGCTGGAGCAAGTTATTGTTATCAGCTTTTTAGCTAACTAAGCTTATTTTATGATACAAGAAGTAACTTTTCCTTCAATTTCTTGTCTCGCTGATAGTTTTAAAGATATTTATAAATACTTGTTATACTTATAGCTCACAAAAAGTTACTTCTAAAGCAAAAGTTTTATAAAAATAGAAGTTAATTAAGTGGACATTATTACTAAGTTATTTACTCATCAGTAAGCTTATTAATGAAAGTTATCAATCAAAATTTTTTTTGTACAAATTAATGGTACGTATATCGATCAATTACACTGTAACCGAAAGTCTTTTGGAGTGGAAATAAAATGGATGATTCTTTACCTGAAGCAAAAAAATCGTTTGCAAAAAACTCGACAAATAATAGTCATGGCAAAGTTTAACATTTAAGTTGATATCGAACTTTTCTTTAAGATTTTCGGGCTTCAAATTAACAGAAAAAATTTTAAATATACGAAATTGAGTTTCTTCAATCTGTTAGTGAACATTTTCTCCACTCGAGTGGGATTAAAGTAAGTACTACTTAAAATTTGTAATTTTCGATTTCAAAATATAATTTTTTGTATGCTGCTCAATAAATGAATAATAATTAAAAATTTGTTGTAGAAAACAATAATTATAATGTTCACAAAAATCGAACCTACTTTTTACGGTATTGCACTAATTGCTTTAGAATTTTTCTCCAATAATAGATTTTTTTAATGTGTTTTAAACAATTACTTGATGAAGATCTTGGTCATGAAAAAATATGAATGAAAATTTTGTCATACTGAATGTTTTTTAAACTTTTCTTTTAAACAAATTTTAAATACTTGAGAATGATGATTAAATTGTCGTTCTTACGAAGTAAAAAAACTCGAGGAAAAATCTTATAAAATCTATTCAAACAGACGTGTTTAACTTTGAGAGATTCTATGCATATATTTGTCCATATTGTATTTGTCCATATTTTATGAGATTTTTATCCTCAGGGAACTGAAGCGGTATTTTCAAGTACCAGTGTAGATTCATCATACTATTACTACGAGCTTTCATATATGATTTATTGATATATGAACAATATTGTAAGTCGACATTTTATGCTGCAATAAAATATCAAAAACCGCTAAGATAATATCATTATTTCATCATAATTACTCAATAATTCAATGGTTTTATTTAGTCTCGTTACAGATGCATGAAGGCGTGTCTCGGTAAAAGGTATGAGAACGTAAGAAAAATTAACGGTAACAACCGATAGATTTACGATCGAGAATATAAAAATAATAATGTAAATACTTTTCTGATTTTCCTAAATTAATAAGACGAATTTTTATTAATCGAAAAACGATTTGCTTCAAATTTTTCAAATCTTGTTTGTAGAAAATAAATACGACAATTTACAAAAAAAATTTTTTTCTGAACTGGTATTGTACCCGGAAACCATAAATGTCTATAACTAGAGATCTACATTCATATGCTTTCACGACATCTATAACGCGGTGTGCTGTAATAAATTTTATTGCAATAAGTGAATAAAATATCTCATAAAATAACAAAAAGATATTATTCTTAATGGCTTGTATTTAAATATTTTAGCTATAAAATCTTAATTAAAGTGTATGTAGATTAATAAATAAAATATATACAATCCAAGTTCGTTATACTAAAGGCAGCTACTTTCATTGTGCTTGATATTTTACATTCGAATTTTTTCCCATACATTTAGAGTGCTCAAATTTTATGTTTTGATGTTTCTATAATAATTTTTTTATTGGCTTTCTCAATATGGCTCCATCTCTTCAATTAATTTAGTAGATCTATTTTTTTTTATTTATGCGAAACATTATCACAGAAAAATATTAAAAAATTTTTAAAAGTAATAGAGATGCGGTGCAGAATTCGAACCCATGTCTCTGAATATCTAGTCAGTCGCCCTAGGCTAAACATGTTTATTAATAATGAGAATTTGAACACTTTTCTTTTTTATAAAAATAATTTTTAAGATTTTTGAAAGTTTTTAGACATAAATGACTTTTAAATAAAATCATATTTTTTTTATTACTGAAATAAATTTTTTGCAATAGACAATATTTAAAATTATATTATTTGTAGAAATAAAATGAATTGTGTTGTAAAATAGTAAATTAGTAGCGCGTTGGTACCAATTGTCCGTAAGAAAATTTTCTGATAATTCCGGATATGCCCATATATATCTTGATATGGTCATATATCCACATAAATAATTTTTCGACCGAAGGTAGTATTGAAAATTTCGGACAGAGGGCGCATGATCGCTGAATCTTCTCCTTACAAGAGAGTTCAGTTTAAGGTATTAAAATTTAAAATGAGAATCTATATATATTTTTTTGTTTAATCAACTACTAAATCAATTTTTATTCAATACAAAATGTTAAAAAATTTTATATAGTCTGATACACGGAAAGAACAAGATGACACTGGATATCATTCCAGATTATACTGAGTGAAAAATTTTTTTAGATAGTAGCTAGTATAATCCAAATTACAATGAGTATAATCCAGATATCACGCAGTATAATATGGATTTTTCTAGCTACTATCTAAAAAATTTTTTCGCCACAGATATCACTGAGTATAATCTGGGATGGTATCCAGTGTCATCTTGTTCTTTCCGTGTATGGCAACGTCAGAAAATTTTTTCACGGATGGGTTATTACCTATATTTCCTATATTACCTATATTACCTATAGTTACCATGACGCAGAACTAGAACCAGAACTATATATAATATTTCTTATCATTACGATAGAAGTTATCTATAACGATTTATATTAGAGCATACGTTGTAATTAAAAAACATCAATTAAGGATGTTGAAATTCATGTGGATTTTTTCTACGCCTACACGGAAAAACGAGTAATTAAAAAATTACAGTTTCTGTAGTAATACGAGGAGCTTCGAATAAAGAAATTGAAAAAATTTCAGTTTCAAATAAAATTTTTATGAAATAAAATCTTAAGTATATTGATTTTTACAGTTTCAAATGTAATTTTAGAATTTTGAAATGTACTTCTTACAGAATTTGTAAAAATTTAATTCTCAAACTGTAATTTTTCCGTATTTTGTTCAACGGTATAAAAAAAATGAAATTGACAATAATATACATAAATTAAATGATAAAAAAAATCGGTCATGTCATCTGAAGCGGAACCAAAATAATTCATGATAACTTCATTGCGTTAGTGACTAAAAAAAAAAAATAACAATAATATTAATAATTCAAAAGTCAAAAGCCAATCTAACATTTTCCCAATAATATTTTTCTCTATCGTCATGTCTCAGATGTTTGCTTCTATACCGAACTTGGACTGCAATATTAATAACATTCATTTCGTTTAATATAACGTAATAGTTTTACTTTTATTCGCTCGTGATGTCAATTGCCCTAGAATCTTAGAACTTTGAGCAGAATGACACAGTGAAATGGTATTAAAATTTAATTCTACATCTACTCTTATAAATTTTAGAGTGTATAGGTATCGTAAGTAAATAAATAATTATAATTTCTGGGAATATACTTGTCGCTTGTTAACTTTTCATAAAGATTAAATAAAAAATAAAGTAAAGTATTAAGGGTTTATGTAAGTTTGTCGAAAAGTTCTACTATGCTACTGAATTCATAAAATCAATATAAAATGTACATAGTATATATACCTATGTTTATATGCTTATATATTGTTAATTGAGGGTACTTATGGATTTAGGTGAGAAAGGGGATGAGTCAATAGAATTAAAAAATTGAAGCTACAATAACATTACAAGGTTAATTGTTTATAAAATTTATTGTTATTATTTAAAAATAACAAGCAAAAAAGCACTAGAAAGATAGTAGAAAATTTATTTCACCCTGGATATGATATACGTCAAGTGAAAGGTCAATTTTATTAAGTAACACAAGGAACAATGCAGCAGCAGCATCTTTCGCAGATGGTTCGGATTAATTTATCTACTAACATATTTATCAATAGGTATACAAACTTCAGAAATTTTATTTTAATTATCTCTGATAAATTACAACAGTTAGGTATCGTCTACGTCTGGATAATTTAATTATCATTATCATTTAATTTAACTGTTGTCTTGGCCCACTAAATTATCTTTTTTAATTTTACATCTTTACGGATTAACAATTACATGTGCGTTAACGAAATGTTATTAGATCACCTGGTATGATATTATCATCCGTTTTAACTTTATCTACATTTATAATAATAATAATAATAGTTGTAATAGCAATGGTAATGATGATAATAATAATAATAATAATAGTATATCGTTAAATCTTGAGTATATGCACTTTGCCAAGTTGTCTTTTCAGTAACGAAGGATGTAAAGCGGCATATAAGGCGAACGCTCAGTGAACCCACCTCTGCAGTGCCCGAAGGCTTGAGTCACAACGTCTGCCTGATGACGACAGGCATATAGTCGCAATTCACACTCGTTGTCATACGTTTGTCCATCACTTCCGCAAACTGGTACTGTCGGTAAATCTGCTGGGCATACTGATGGGCACTCACAATGAAGACTACCAATCTCTGAACAATGCCCACCAGAGTAACATTCGAGCTCGTTACAATTTGTTGCAATCATAGGATTCGCGTCCACTGAAATTTTTTATTTAGAGTTTTAAATGATTAGATTATTATTTGATTGATTGTAACTGATTTAAAAATTTTTAGGTCGAATTTATTTTATGATTAATTAAAATTTCAGTTCGCTTGTTTTTTTGGACAAAATAGATTTATTGAAAAATTATTAATTTAATTGAAGGATTTCTATACGAGTTAACATGCTTCCAATGTTTTAAATTCAACAATTGTTGAAAAAAGTTATTTTTAATGTATTATTGTGTGCAAACCATCATAATTATATAACGGAACAAGAGTATTAAAGTAAAAGATGAAATAAATTTTGTGACAATTTTTAACATTATGGGACGGATTTTTAATAAATTAGAAAGAGTATAAATTCATCGTTTCTCTGCACGAAAACTATTTAGTTTCAGTGAATAATATTAACTGATAATAAAAATAATATGATTAAGTTAAAGTTTTCAATAACTAAAATAGTATATTACATACCTAGGCCAATAAAATAAGAAAATGTTTCAGATCCCATGTAATTATTGCCAAAGTGTGCAATATACTATTTTTCTGCTCGACGTAGCCGAAATGTGGCAACTTCGTTTAGTGCAGCGGCCAGAAAGTTGCCACTTTCCGGCTACGTCGAGCAGAAAAATAGTATATACACCTTGGCCCGTAAATAGTATAGCCTCAGATCTCATGTTTGTCAACCTCGGTTTCGTCTCGGCCAACAATTACATGTGATCTGAGATTTTTCTTATTTTACTGACCCAGATATATAATATACTATTTTTTAATTTAGTCAATGTTTAAGTGTGGCATAGTTATTTCGTCCTACTTTATAGTTTAACATTACGGTAAATTATTAGTTAAATTAAATTGGGAAACTATTAATAAATCATGAAATTTACCCGATTTTCTTGCTTAATAATTGATAAATTTTATTATTACTCCAAAGTCTAATAAAAGTATTATAATCAGAACTCATAATTTAAACTATTATTAATTTTTGAAATTTTGATTTTAAGTCACCGTGTTAAATAAACGCGTTGTTGTCAAGTGACTAAATGTAATTTCAGTGGATCTACTTAATTAAAAAAATTTTTTTATTGAACAAATAAAAGAATTTTTGTTATTTTTTAATCTAATAAAGTCATACAGATTTTTGTGTCTCACATTTTTTCATTATGTTTCGTAAATTAAATTTTCGATATTTTTATTGCTAAAATTAAAACAAAATATTGTGGTGTAAAAAAAGCGCTACTACGTTCATTACGATATTATGCAACTAACAAAATATTAATTAAAAAACATACAAATTCCTTCTTTTTATTTTTTTCAATATAACCCATCATATTTTATCAATTAATATTATCAGATTAATTTGTAATTGTGCAATTATTGTAAAAATACTTTAATAAAATAATGTTTAGTTATTTAATTAAAAAAAATTATGAATATATGGCTTTCATTTTTCATTAATATATTTTGTTGATTAAAATATAAATGAGTTATAGACAGAATATTTATAACATTTGAAACGAAAAAATGAATATGAAAGAACCTCTGGATTCTGGTGATAAATTAAAAGTTGAAATAAAAATATGGTTGAGCAATAATCCGTAAAATTTTTTTTATAATACCTGAATAACACCCAGATGGTGTGAGTATTTTAGTGTGGTCTGTGCAAATAGTGCATTTCTGTCCCTGGATTTCTGGCTTGCAAACGCATCGTCCCGTCATTTGCTCGCAATCTTCTCTAACTGATCCGAAAAGAGAGCAGCCACAAGCTAATAAAAATAAAAAATTATATTAATATTATATAAAAAAAAAACAGTAATAAAAATATAATCATAATAATATTAAATGATTGAAACAGAGTCGAGTTTAATTTTGGTAGTTGATGATTAATTGAAGTTTGTAATTAATTATAACAAGCCCTTACGAATGCATCCTTGATGTCCTTCACTAATTTTCGGTAAGCCCCAATATCCTGGCATACAACGGTCACATTTAAGACCACCTACACCAGGCTTGCATTCACACTGACCAGATTCAGGGTTACAAGTATCTGAAATGCTGCCCAATTTGTTGCAATTACACAAACTAGGGCACCCGGCATTGTCAGGACCAAGAGCAGCGGTTTTGCCGTCGGGACAGCAACCGTGCCATGAATCCATACATTCGACAACCTGAATACCTTCATCTTTTTTAAAATAAAAAAGATAAAAGAAAAAAAACTTATTAATTTCGAATAGAAGAATGTAAATGTGTACAATCTTCATTATAATAATAATTAATATACTTTTTTTACAGCAGCGAGCGAATCGGGGCGTTTGATGACAATAACTGTTGCTCGGGCAATCCCGTCGATTAGCACCACTTCCACAGTCGTATTCTTTTTCTTCATCATCTACTAAGGGAGTATCGCCGTTGCATGGCTTAACTTCCATGCCTGTTAAACATTTTAATTCAGTGTGATTAATAAATCAATATCAATGTTCATAAATTTTTTTTTCTCTTTACTTTTAATCTTCGCGAAAAAATCAAGTCATTTGTTTTCCGATAAGAATAAGAGAAAATAATTTTTTACGTATGATAGAAAGGAAATAAAATGAAAACTGGAATTAAAAAGAAAATATTTTCATTTCCTATGACGCTATGATAAATACAAATCATACAATATCATTTCCGAGTATAAATGGTCAAAAGTAGTGATACTTAGAAATTAAAGAAAAATTTTCTTGATCATTAATTAATAATAAAAATTTACCATCCTATTTTTGGCTACAAAATCTACATGCTAATTTTTTTTAAATTGAAATTTTTTTTAGAGTTCCTCAAAAATATGATAATTTGAAAAAATTTCAATTTTTCAACTAGAAAAATTTTTAGAAGAATTATAAAAGTTTCATAAAATAAAAAAAAATCATTTATTTAAAGTTGAAACTAATTAAAAAAATTATTGTTGAATATTTTCATGAATTTTATCTTAAATGTACCGCAAAAGCAAATAACTTGAAAAAAAAGTAATCGGAAATATTTAATTAAAATTTTTTCTGAAAATTTAATATCTTCATTTCTGCTAATATTTGAGAAAAATTGTTTTGAGATAAAAAAAAAATATACGACCCATTTAAAGATAAATAGAACAAAAAGTAATGTGATGAAATAATAATCTTGAGTCAAAGTGTTTTTCTGCGCAAGTTTGAGTTTTTTTTCAAGCTTATAGCTTCAATGATAAATTATTAAAAATTTAAGTTTAAGCAGTAAAGCAGCTTTAAAATAAAAATGGACGATGATAAAAGAGGATGAAGGATAAAAGGAACTTTAGGGTAAAAAATGTTCAAACCTTGACAAAGGTCTAGCGGTCGTAATCGTAACTCTTGTTGGCGTTGACAGGCTTCCATCTTCATTGCGCAGATAGAGGAATAAATTTTGAGATCACTGCCACAAACTGGTAGCATATTTTCAGGGCGTATTGAGGCACAATCAAACTTGCAACTGCACCTCGGAAACCTGTCAGGTCCAAGTTCACAAGTTGCTTCAAAATCGCAATGTATATCTTTGCACATCTCTTGAGCGCTAGTGACTTCCGTAACTGCAGTTGACAGTCGAGTTACTGAAGGTGTAGACATAGTTGCTGTAGATGGAAATGGGGGGGGGGGGTTAGTTAATGGTTAGTAAGCTTCACGGTTAGTCGAAAGTAATCTAATAATATATTCAAACATTTTTAAACTTTTTATTCAAACTCAAACTGTAATTTTCCTATACCATATAATGGATACTATCCGTTCCGTTATCGATTGCATTTAAATGATAAGATACATATACATATATATAAGTTGATCTTACTTAGAGCAGCGACAGCAAACTTCTCGCCACATTCACCATGAAAAGCGACGTGTAAAGCAGCAAGTTTTGCCTTATCTCGGTCGCATGCAGCACGCTGCAGTTCACACTCTGAGGGATAAGTCTTTGCGTCTGTACCACATACAGGCTCGTCTTTTGGATCTGGACAACTTTCTGGACAAATACATTCCCCTGCCGAACAACGAGCTCCATTTGCACATTCAACATTTGTGCATAACTCTGTATAAATATTATCTTTTATTATTTTCTCTATTAATTTATGATGAACTGTGGAAGAAAAAGGAAAAGAGAGAACAAAAAATCCACTTACTGCAGTCTCCCTCAAATGCTACAGTTATTACAGCTTGAGTTAAACATGAAGTTTTTTTCAAAGTACATTCATTGGCGTAAGTTGTTCCATCACTTCCACATACTTTGCGAGCCGAGCTGCTGTTTTTTTCCTGAAATTATATTATTCTTTGAGTTAGGACCGCTATTTTAGGATGGAATATAATTCGGTAGTTTTATTATTTTAAGATGATAATAATAATTTTACGCATTAGTATTTAGTCGATAATTAAAATAATTATTGATGAGTTTAATATTTCTTATTGCTAACATTTTTTTTTTAATTTAAGTTACACGGAGAGAATTTAATGGTAAATACAACTATCCGAGTATTGTAAAAACAGGCTTCTTAGTATGAATGATTGCAAGAACTATCCAAATTGTTAACTGAACCATCGAGATAATGACATTTACCATCTGGATAATAATTATTACCATTTAGCTGGTAACTTAAAGATGATAAACTTAATCATAATATATGTTAACTGCTAAAATCATCATGTTGATTGTAAATTTTACAATCATGATGGTAATTATTACCATTGCAGCTAGTAATATGATTAGTCACTATGTGATTACCGTGACTTGTGAATTATAAATAAACAAAAATCTCGCTTTATTAAATAATGACTTTTGTTAAATTGCACTGTACTTTCTTAAATATTGACGTTTTTGAAGATATAAAAGCATATTTATATATATTATATATTTATATATAATATATATTAAATATATAAAATATATGAAAAATTGATATGGGTACTCAAATGAAAGGTCTCGATAAGTGTAACGTCTCGGTAAAATTATATCTTTAGAAATGTCAATAGCTTACAAGATACAAGGTCATTTCTTAATTATTGATATTTTTAAAGATGTAAGCTCATCCTGATGTCACACTCATCAAGAGCTTTCATTTGAGTACCCACATATATTTTTGATATATTTTTCATATATTCATATATATAAATATATGAAATATATGAAAAATTGATGTGGGTATTCAATTGAAAGGTCTCGATGAGTGTAATGTCGGGGTGAGCTTATATCTTTAAAAATGTCAATAGTTAACAAGATAAAAGGTCATTTCTTAATTATGTGTCTAGAAATGCAGCATTTTCGAATGCAGCCTAAATGTACTCTTATGTCAAACATTGGAATGTTATTATATTCTGACTCTAAAATTGAAAAAGTTTAGTTTTTTATACTTCCTGTTTATTTTCTTTTATGATTGCAATCATGATGATTTTAACTATCTCCGATGATAAAAGTTACCATCTAGATAATAAACCGTATCATCATAATTGTGGGAATTAATATGTACTGATTGTACTAATTACAATCACCGGATAGTTGCATTTATCATCTTAACTTTGTAAAAGTTAATAACTATCCTGGATAGTAGAAGCTACAAAATAGGGATGGTTACCGTTAACATAAAATTCTCTCCGTGTAGAAATTTTTTGGATTATTTATTAATATATTAATATAAAATCAAAGAGTATCTGTAAGGTTGTAAAATTTACTTTTTTCTTGGCAAAAAGTTAAGGGCTAAAAATTTTTTTTTCACAATTTTGAAGTAAGAATATTCTTTGAAGACATTGGGTTCTTTCATAGAATCTTAATGAATAATAGAACGTATTTCAAAGATACATGACAGTAAAGAGAGAGAATGAGTTATTTTATTAAATAATAAAAATTGATTGATAGATTGAGTTAAGTAGGTTAATATAAGAGAAAAAAAAAATAAAGGAAATAAAACGTAATAATTGAGTTCCTCATATTGTTACAAGCATTAATATGTTTGTCGTTCTTATAATTTTTTTTACGATTTCAAAAGAAATTGATTATTTTTTGTACAAAAATATTAAATAATTTTCATAATCTCTTAAATTATGGTTTATATTTTTCCGTATTATTATTAGAATTAATCAATATAAAGTAAATTAGAATGCGTCAAATAAAATGACCAAATTATCTTTGACTAATAAATATACAATTGATATACACTGTAAAAACCTTATTGCAAATTAATATAAGATTATGAAAGAAAAATGTAAGTAGAAAATTATTAGGAAGCTTTTGAGAATGAATAATAATTATTTAGCAACTTGGCCGAATTTGATACAAGCTTTAGTGAGAATAGTAGAGGAGGATATTGAAACAATATAGAACTCTTAGTATACAACAAGAGCTTAGTTGTCTTCCATTCACGAAGCATACATGGAAGCTTCATTAGTTCTAATTGGAATTCGAGACCACTGTGATGCTTGTGGTGGTTGTGCCAGAGAATAATAGTTATAATATATACCACAGTTTAGATAGTCGTTGATAACCGGTAACTAAAATGTAAACATACTAAAAGTTACACTGTAAATTGTTTATTTAATTTTACAATGAACTGCGGTTAAGTTTGTCGTACAATTGCTTGATAGTTGATTAAAACTTTACAAATCCATTTAATTGTTTCATATTTTGTGGCAGCTACCAACCACGTTTATGTTATTATACAGCCGTATGGTTATTTTATTTTCGGGCAAAAGTTTAATTTATTCACAAGTGTCCATTTAATCAAAACTTTAAAAAAAATAAAAAAAATAAAAAAACGTAATAATTGAATAACTCTGCAGTCCAGGATCCGAATTTCCACTCATAACTATTTAAACTAAAAATTTATTCAAAAAAAAAAAGAATATAAAAAAAACATTTGGGTTTTTACGAAAGTTCGATTGCCGTCAAAAATATTTAAATTGTTTTATTCGTCCGAGAGATATCGACTATTTACATACAAACAAACTTGTAGGTCATCTCTAAAATCGTCAGAGATAATTCCTGAAATCAATAACGTGGATTTCTGTAAAATGAACTCTGGACTCTCTGTAAGAGAAGATAAGTACGGGAGGACAAAGAATTTATTGAAAAATTATAATGAATAGTCTAGTATAGTCAACATTGGTTAAGATAAATTTTTAGGTCATGAGAATATTGTAGGAAAATAGAAAATAAGTTATTTTTCCCGAAATGAAAGATTACTATGATAGGATAGTATTTTTTGTAGCAGCTACTGGGAACCGAGCATTGACATTTTTCTGCGGAAAGAATGGACAATAAATTTGCTCGATCAAGTTTACGCTCGGCTATTACTGATAAGGGTAGCTGGAAAATGTAGTATGAGACCAATTTTTGAGCTCGTCGGTGTTCCATCAACGATGCTTGGTTCCACCCAATAAGCATCGGTTAGCTGGCTCAGCTTAGCTATTTTTCCATCGGTTCGTGCTCAACCACTGCTCATCGGCATTATTATACTACATCTCTGCAACCTACATCAGTAAATGATTCTCTACTCGTCGAGAATATTCAATTCTTTTTTCTCTTCTCTCTACTGTACAGACATTTTCTGTTTGAAATGCTTCCATGATTTAAACTGATTGTACTTTTCGTGATGAATTTAAATTTATAATTGTTTTTCATGGGGGCTTACGAAAAAAAAAAAAAAAAAAAAAAAAAGTTCATAATTGTTAAATCTGTAAAGAAAAAAAAGTGTGGGACTTTGATAAAAATAGTATGCCGGAAAATTTTAAACTTGTGTCTCTTTTTGTGTTGGGAAAAGATGAAATAAAAATATTGTTTTAAACTTGAATCTATGTTACGATGAAGGGTCGTATAAAAGGCTTCATAACGTTCCCGTGTAATTTACATTGTTTCAAAAGAAAGTTTTCCTTGACGATAGTGGCTTTGAAGTTGCAACTCTCAGCGAAAGCAATTTTTCTTTGGCAAACGCAGGAGTCGTTTTGCGACACCGTGCAAACAATACACGCAGGGATAGTAAGCGTGAACAAAAGGGGATTATTCAGTGAGAAGTCCGAGTTGGGCGTATGCGGATCCAAAGCAATTTATGGTAACGAGGCATTGTTATTCTGAAATGAGACTCACCAAATCCCCACAGTTGGTCGGACAGACACATCTGGCTTCACCGGAGCTGTCGCTTTCGCATTTTCCATAATGCTCACACTTCTTATTCTCGCAGCCATCTGAAACAATAATTAAACAACTCAACTGTATTTTATTTTTATAACACTTCCAGGTTTTGCTAAACTTTTTAAACCTTATACTTTTTTAACAAGTATCGCGTCTATATAGTTATTTCAAGCTATCATTTGGTTCCTAAACCAGAAAAGAAATAATTTTTTTTTCTTTTATTTCATAACATCTTATCAAGTCTTTGTTCCTTGGTATCCTTAATAATACCTTGCCATTAATATTTTTTTCGAAACGGCCACATCAGGCTATATATAGAGAATAATAAAATAATTTTTCATTTTTTCTCCAAATGTGTGTGTTATTAAGATATTATAATAAACAAAAATTGGTTTATTAGTTGATTATTAAATTGAAAAACAATAACAGATAAGCTCTTCAGGAAAATAAAAAAAAAAAATTTTTTTTTGAGATTTTAACCCTTCAAATTTAATTTTCAACACTAACTTTGATCGAAAAATTATACATAGGTGGATATAATTATATATATCAGGTCATATGGGTAAATCAAGTCATACTTAGCCATATCAAGCCACAGATGTCTTGAGCATTTTAGGACATATCGTAAATCATATAATTTTATGTATGGAGATATCAGACTATATCATAAAATTTTTTAAACGGGTTATTACTGAATTCAAGATATTATTTTCGATGGATACAGTGAAATTCTATATCCAAGAACAGTTCTTTCTCTTTTAACTAACAATAACTTCGTTCTTTTCTAAGAACTTTATATTCTTGGTCTAAGAACAATTTTCTTCATTTAAAGTAGCAAAAATTTAAAAGAAAAGATATTTTCATTTCAATATATTCTGGAATGCATTTGAGACTTTTTTTTTCTATGGTATAGAAAGTCGCAAAAATTCGAAGCTTAAGTTTTAGCGTTATTCTTAAACCAAATCGGTAATATCTGTAACTTATTTTACTCCGTGTATTAACCCCAGAAAAAATAAATTTTTGGGAAAAGTATATACGTATCTTGCTTGAAAATAGAAAAGTGCTTGGGAGAACTTCTGCTCTTTATCCAATAATTTTACTTGATTGCTTTGTTATTTTTAATTTTGCAATTATAAAAATGAGTTTTCAATTTAAAGTGTTGTTTCTGTTAACAGCCATTTCAGATTTTTTTTTTCTCTGATTTTTTTATCTAAAAAAAAATAATTAAGAAGGACGGTCATTTATTTTTGAATTTTTTATCACTAAAAATACGATAAAACTCACTCTTGAACAATTATCTAAAAGTGAATTTATAATTGTCTACTTTTGTAGAAAATAAAAATTTGTTTGCCAAAATAAACTTTTTTTAACTTGTTAGGTTTGTCAAAGTACACGTTCGTTAGACCAAAGTAGATAAAGTGTTAGTAGTACATACACGTGCTAGTGATGTGGAGAGGATGTTGACCGGCTTGTTGGTTAGGGGTTGCATGTACATGTAGCATGCATGCTTCAGGATAACAACTCATAGTCGGTAAAGTAAAATCGCGCCATCGTGATATGCATGAACTGTTCTTTAATTAATCTACATAACGATTCACAAGACGTCGCTACAATTCCGAAAATTATTCTCTGACAGATGAAAAGTTTGTTTACTACGGAATCTCATTAAAATTATTTTAAGATTGCACCGTAAGTGTAATAAATCCCATCTACCTGTATTCGCATTTAATATAAATTTGTACATCTATATGTAATATATACATTTCAATACATCAATATTGTAATTCGGATCCCTAATGAGACCTCATATTGTGCACATAATTTGATCCCAAGGGGACTAATGTTAAAGATCCTTGTCATCGTGGATGCTTGAAATAATTATCGTGATTAAAAAATTAAATTACTCAAATATCCCAACGCAACTATATTGAGCATTCATATTTATATAAGCTAGTTTTTATTTTTTGAACTCCACGCTTTCGAGTTTAATTATTAAAATTTCGCTTATGATATCGCGTCAGAGTTATAAAAGACAAACACAACTTTTTCGATTCAATTTCGCAAAATATAATGTAATGTATTATTATTTTAGTTAAAAGTTAACGTCGAATTAGGTATGTTTTAATAACGTAATGTACTTCTTTTTTCTATTTCGACTTTCCTGAAATGAAACAATTATTAATAAGTGATATGTAGTATTACAATTAAATATTTTAATTTCGAATTATAATGTTATTGTTTCATCTTTGATTTATTGATAATATTTATTGACGATTGTACACCTTAAAAAATTTTAGCTAGTTGATTTTAACTTTTAATTCGATTTTACATTACACTAAAAAGAAGGATTTTTCCTCCCAGAACACAAGCTATTATTAAACGAGTATTCTTACAGTAAGAATACGTATTGTTATTGTAAGGAAACTGGTATAATTCCCACAACAATACTAAGTTTAATCCTAGGACTAAAACCCCATGCTATTATGTCATGGCAAAAGTAATGGTGGCCTCATCATAATTCCTTTTATTATGAATAGAAATGTTCAAAAATCATTTTCTAACAACTGTTCTCATGAGATATCCATGTATAATATTTTTTTATAAACCGAGTTCCATATCGAGTCTATGTGCGCATGTGTTTCTACCATTCGCAGTTGATTTGGTGCAAAGCGTTGAGGCGTTAAACTTGCAAGATAATTCTTATTTGCGGTAAAATTTAACCAAACATCAACATTGATTTGTGAAGAAAAGTAATTTCTCATAGTGACTTTATTAATGAAAGTATTTTTTATTACTTCTGCATTTGGAAATGGTCAGTGGATTATTTTTATTCTAATTTGAAAAACGAAAATAATATCGGGGTTTTTAATAAAAAGAACATTTTTAACTTCTCGCCAAGAAAATTAATGAAAACCGGTTGATTCATTCGGGAGATATTGCAAATTAAAATTTTGAAATAAAGTATTTTTTGTACACGTTTTTTTGAGCTTGATTAGTTCAAAACTTTGTGGTAGGAAATGCTTTGTGCGTTTTGGACTCGAATATAGCGGAAAGTTCCAGGGATAGCCGGCAGGGTTAAACGTTTTTCAGATTTTTTTTTTGATGTCACTTAATCCTTTGATCAACCGTACTATTCATTTTCTTCAAATATGATATATTTATTTTACCATTGAATATTATCGAGATTATATTTATACTTTTTATCTCTTATACTGTATTGATTATTGTTAGAAATTACCAAAAAATGGCATGGTAGTATACATTATATTGAATAAATCGTTTCTTAAGTAATAAAAAAGGAGGATGTCTAAAAGAGAATGTTTAAAGATAAAAATAATAGATTATTTATTGTGTCGAGAAGTTAAATTTTAACTTATCAATATTAATTGAACATGAAATCATTTTAATGACCAGTTGATAAAAAAATATTAAAATAGTTTGATAATAATAATTGTTGGTAATATCAATTCTTTGAATTTATTCTATTCTTTGTAGAAGATGGAAAATAGATAAAAATGTAACATGCTCCATGTTGTTACCCCATATATTTATCCAAAATTGAATATGAATAAATTTTTTTCTTCAATTTCATCTTCTTCCAGTACGTGATAAGAAAAAAATATTGCAATACTTTCCGTTTATCGATCAAAAATAAAAATTTAATTTTTTGAAATTTTCAAAGCTTAGAATTTTAACAAAATTATAATTTTTTGGAAATCAACTCAAGTCGAAATACCGAAAAAAAAAAAAAAACCTAGATACGTCCATTTTTCAATTATTTATGTCCGAAAATAAAATTTTCGGAGCTTTGATTTTATACAATTAGAATTTTTTTATGAAAAAAATTTTCGTCGTACTTAATATATGATTCGTAAAATTCATTTTATAATCAATTGAGTGGAAAAAGTATGCGTACTTGGATTTCCAAAACTTTTTTTTTTGTTATTATTTTCCATGTCTGTAGAATAATTGGTGATAATCCAATTATAACTTTATTAATTAATCGTTGATTTTTAAACTAATTATAAAATACTTACTGCAAAGACCCTGATAAAGTACTTTGATCTCTCTACGATGTTGACAAGCCTCCAATCTGAGTTTACATTCGTTTCCATAGCTGATTCCATCGTCCCCGCACACCGGATTGAATTCTACAGTACACGTAGGACACTCACAGATAGCAGTGTCCCCACTTTCCGCACAGATTGCTCCCCACTGACAAATCTGTTGATTAAAAATCCAGTTTTAAGTGTATCAATAGTCATGGAAGTGCAAATATATGCGCATATATATGCTCTTCAAGTGCGCAAAATAAAATACAAGTATAAAAGAATGAACAAAAATCGAAAAAATAGTTTTCAAGTCACGTTGCATTTCTAGTACTTGTAAAAAAAGTATCCAAGTCTCGCGATTTTATTCACGTTCTACAAGAGGCTGGTAATAAAACAGCTCTTTCAATTGCTTGTTATGAATACATGGAATGGCTTTGATAGAACTACATTTCTATGAAATTATTTCAAATTTTAATTATTAATTATTTTTATCAGTTTATCGTTATAGATGCTATGTGAAATTCACTTTTCTTTTAATTAGGTCTGACACAAATATGTGTGAGTGCAAAAAGTTCGTTTAATATAATAATGAATATACCATTTTGATTAATAATTCAATGATATACATCAACAGAAAAGATAAGATCACTATTGCTAAGCTCAATTGTGTTGTGTTTTATATCTTATTGTTATAACAAGACTAAAGGTAATTTTTTAAAAAAAATTTTGAACATAAATCCGTAAAAAAATTTTCTGATAGTCTGATGCGTGTATATATAATTTTTCACGCTTATATCAGGACATATTTCACATAATTTTCGACCTGAAGTAATGTTAAATATCAAATTTTTAATAAATAAAAAAATATATATATTTTTTATTCTTATATATAGCCTGACATTTGGCCATATACATAAAACCATATCAGAAAATTTTTTGACGGGGACTATCGTTAAGCTCCATTGTTTTGTTTTGTATATTTTATTGTTAAAACAAGACTGAAGATGATGTTATTTTAAAAAGTGGAAACTTTATAACTTTCAAATAAAAGGATCTGCGGGGATCTGTCTCAGAACATTTTATTTTATTTGCAATTTTCAAAGTATACTCTTTAAATTTCCGTGAATATTTGATACTTTTTATTCTTTCAATTTTGTTAGTAAAATTTTATAAATTTATTGTTAAAATTTATCGAGTTTCACAAACTTTAGTTGAACTGGACATTCATTAAATTTCATCTGTAAATTCGTTAAATTTTAATGCTGGTACATTAATTTAAAGGAAAAAAATTCTAAATATCAGAACTATACAAAAAATTTATCTTGATTTTTTTTGTTCAAACTTTGTTTCTATTCGTGTACGTGTAAAATATTATCGAACTACGTAAAAGTCGTAAATAAAGATCACACAATTTATTGAAGAAATGGTAAGCTTTGGATTATATTTTGCTCTTATTTATATTAAATAAATATATCAAATTACATACAGCATAAAAATTAAACAAATGTAGCACTGAAGTTTTTTCGACATAAAAAGGCTGTTGATAAATGACATTATTTAAAATACGTTGGTAAAAAGTTTTAATGCCTGTTCTAACAAATTTCACTTTATTTATGACACTTAAAAAGAAATATAGACAGGTACAAGCGAATAAAATTATATTATTATTATTATTTTGTTCAGTTTGATTTTTATGAAATTGATTTATTTATTTACAATCGAAATAAATTGTAGTAAAAGGTTCGTTGGATATTTGTATTAAAATAGTGAAAATACAATGGTTCAGTTGATTTTTTTTTTTAAATAACAGACGTAGATTTAACTTTACAGTATCTGATTGATTTAAACTCAAATTAAATTGAAGTAATTGAATATTAATAATGAATTAGATTCAAGTTATTCGATCGTTCGATTTTAGTTTATAGAGTTATAATTTATCAAGTTTGTAGAGCAAAGTAAAGTTCAATAAATTTACTCCAGACTAATGTGAAATATAAATAGCCAGTTAATTATGACTGGTTAAATACTATTAACTTTGCTTTCTTAAAATAAAATTACAGTTTTAGTTTTGCAGTAACTCGAATTTCATAAACATCAAATTATTGTATTTGTTCATGACTATCGAAAAATTTTACCAGCTCGAAGATATTCTAATAGAAAAACTCTTGATTCAAAGCATTATTTTTAAAGACAATCAGGTATTTTGTTTCAAGAATTTTTTGCCTTGAATCTCGTCACCTTGGTATAATAAACCAATATCTTCCATCGATAACTCTTGTCACTTTATTCAAAAGTATATTATTTTCGATTGATGCAATCAAAGAAGGTTCTTCTAAAGTTATTGTACTTGGTTCGAAAACAAGCTTCTTGATTCAAAATACCAACATAAAAAAATCTTTTAACAAAATGGAATTTTTACTTCAACAATACTGAAACGTATTTGAGATTTTTTTTAATCATATAGAAAGTAGAAGAACTTATATCGGAATTTATAAGAAAACTCCACGATATCTTGAATAAACTTTATCGCGTATATTAATCCGATAAAAAGAAATTCTTAAACGAATAAGTACATGCTCAGAAAGAAAAAATGCTTTGTCGGAGAACTAAGCTTAAGAAAATATTTAGGGGAAAGGGAAAATTTTCTTGACTGAAGTTATGTTTTATCGAGCCAAGAAAATGTTCTTGTTTCAAAAAATTTTCTTATTGTTCCAAAACGATTTAGGTCTTCTGAAAAAAATTTTTTGGTTCAAGAAAACTTTTTTATCTGTGTACATTTTTTTTAAAAACAGATGTCCTTCATAGAAGAACATAGTTCTATTCTTTTCTACACAAGGGGAAAATTTTCTACACATCTAAGAGCTTCAATTTATTAATTCAAGAGTTTAATTTGTAGAAAACTCAATACTTTGAAACAAAAGTAAAAAATGAATAGCTATTTTAATTAGAGAAGATAAATTCGCTAAAACTTTGTAACTGGTTTTAGTCATGTCATGATTATTAAAATTTCAATAGACCTTAAAAATAATAATAATGCAACAATTATTAATTTGTATTTATCATTTATGAAAAAGCTCTGATAAAGATACTTTCATTTATAGATGACTGTTAAAAGTTTTATAAAAATTAATGCAATTAATATTTTCATATATACGTCTGTGAATTTTTGTTAGGTGCATATAGAGCCTTAAAAATTTATTGTCAAACTGAACAGTCTGGCATTGAACATTTTGAATTTGTGGAGAGAGTAATTTTTAATCGGTACTGTATAATGTATACGAAAATCCCGTTATTTACCGGTAAAAGCTATTTTCTCGTGCATGAAATATGCAGTGTTACAGAGCTTTTCTAGTCTAGAAATAAAAAAAGCTCAGGAGAATATAAGCTAGTGAATGTGCCATAATATCTGTCTTGCCTTTTCAGAACATGCTCCTTGAGATCCGCAGGTACCCGTATATGCGACCTCAATGTTACTCTTAGTTAGGCAAGCATGTCTTTTGAGCTCGCAGAGAGATTTGTATGTAGTACCGCCTCTGGCGCAGACTGGCTTCATTACGGGCTCACATTCTGGCCCGCATTCACATTTCGTGATGCCATAACGGTCGATTGCACACTGCTCGACTTCACTACATTTGGCACCATCGCATGGATTGATACCTGAAATCAAAAAAGAACAAAAAATTATAAAATTATATTATATTTAATTGATACACCTACCCGGGTCAAAAAATTTAGTCTGTTTTATGATTAATAAAATTTTTTAATATTTTTCATTCAATTTAATTTTATTATGTGTATCTATTTTATATGAGAATTTAATCTGTTTTTGCCC